ATGCACATCCTACATATGCATGCATACACATATGAACATACATACACAGGTATGCACATGACATATGTACACACACTCCAAAACAAAAATAAATAAAGGAAAAACAAAACAATTCTCAGTCCGAACTGGAGGACTGGGCTGGCTCATGACCTATAGTCTACAGGCCAGTGCTCTGTGTAAATGCTCTTAGCCCCTTTGGCTAAGCCTTGCCGTGGACCATGGAGAACAGAGTTGAGAGTGTAACACATGCTCATCCTGTCCAGCACAGACACCAGCAGGCTCATGACATGGGGTTATTCACATTTAAATGAGACAAATAAAGAATCCTGTCTCTTGGTTACACTTGCCATGTATGTCCAATACTCATAGGCCAAATAATGGCCGCTGCCATGGGTAATCTGGACTGCCATCTTGACAGGATGTAGAGTCACCAAAGAGGCAAACCTCTGGGCATATCTGTGAGTAATTTCTTAGGTTGGGTTCACTGAGGAAAGAAGACCCACCAGTACCATTCCATGGGCTAGGGACCTGGGCCACACAGAGGAGAAAGGCAGCTGAGCACCACATCATCTCTCTCTCTGCACTCTAATCAGCAACCTCAAGATCCTGCAGCTAGATGGATTATACACTCAGCTATGAGCCAAAAGAAACCCACCCTTCTTTTCATCCTTCCTCCCTCTCTGCCTCCCTCCCTCCCTCCCTCCCTTTCTTCCTTCCTCCCTCTCTCCCTCTCTCCATCCCTTCTTCCTTCTTCCCCTCCCTCCTTCCTTTCCTTCCTTTTTCCTTTTCTTTCTTCCCTCCTCTCTCCTCCTCCCTCCCCCTCCCTCCCTCTGCTTTGTCCAGGTATTTTGCCACACAAACAAGAAAAGTAACCAACCCAGCTGCCCCACTGGACAGGGGCTTCTATGCACTACAGAACAGAGTTTCTGAAGTCTCACATGGGTTGGAGAGGGAGCTGAGGTTTTGCTAGGGGAGCCCAGAGGGAGAGAGGCAGAGCTGGCAGAGGCCAGGTCAGAGGCCAGCTGTAACTCACATGTTGACGACATTCTTGACGTTGAAGTTTTCCAGCGGGGCCAGGTCAGGGTCCATGCCCCGCTCATCCTGGAGGACGATCTGCTGGAGGATTCGGTCCAGGAGCTGCCACTGCTGGAAGTAGCCACCATTCCGCTTGTCTGAGGGACAGAAGGCATTGGAGCTGTCCTGAGCCCTCGAACCCCTGGAGGCCTTGCTCTGCCATGACTGCCTAGGTTCAGGCCAGCAAGTCAAGCCCTCCCCCTCCCGAGAAGCTCCTGGTCTGATGAAGAGGCAGTGCTGCTGCCAGTCATGGAGACTCACAATCCAGTCAACTCCTCCTCATCCACAGATGGCCTTCCATGACCCGGCCAACCCTCCTAACATTTCTCTACAGCGCAAAGTGCTTCCTCTTTCCTGTTGAGACCCTGGGCATACTGTGCCCTGGGCATGTGAATGGCTTTTTCTACTGTCTATAAAAAGCATCCATTTGAAAATATAACAGGCTCGATAATGAAGTCTCCGGGGAAAACGTAACACAAGATTTCATGATTATCTTTGTTTCCACTTTACAGAAAAAGATGAATGGAAGCTGGTCCCATATATGTGCTAAGGGCATCAGGATGAGTTGAATAAGGGCTGAGTGAACCCAGGGAGGCTTCTCGGTGGAGATGACCTTGAACTATGGAGGCAAAGGCTTCTTCTCATCCTCAGGTATCACCGTCCACCTGGGTGTGGACTTCTTTTCTACACAAGAGCCACTACCTCTCCTTCCTGGGTTGCTTTATCTTTAATGGCCACTAGGAAAAATTATTTTAATCCTGACATCAAATTCTGCCTGTGCCGGGCAGTGGTGGTGCACACCTTTAATCCCAGCACTTGAGAGGCAGAGGCAGGAGGATCTCTGTGAGTTCGAGTTCAGCCTGGTCTACAGAGCAAGATCCAGGACAGGCATCAAAACTACACAGAGAAACCATGTCTCGATAAACCAAAACAAAACAAAAAAAATCTGCCTGCAAGCTAGACAATTGTGTCTTCAAAGCCCCATTTAGAGGCAGAAGAGAGGGGCCCACCAAACAGGGAGCCTCTGCGAGCAGAAGAAACCAGATTCCAGCAACTTCCACGAAGATCTGGGCTGAATTTGAGATTAAAAAAATGTGTGTGTGTGTGTGTGTGTGTGTGTGTGTGTGTGTGTATTATATATATCTGTGTGTGTATAGTATATATGTCTCTCTCTCTCCCTCCGTGTGTGTGTATGTGTGTGTGTGTGTGCGCGTGCATATGTGTGTGTGTGTGTGTGTGTGTGTGTGTGTGTGTTATACATGTCTGTGTGTGTTCCCAAAGACCAGAAGAAGTTGTTAGATCCCCTGGAGCTAGAGTTACAAGTATTTGTGTGACACCAAATGTGTGTTCTGGAAACCTGAACTCAAGCAAGTGCCTTTAGTTGCCAGCCACTTGTGCAGCCCCTGGGCTGTGTCTGGAGAACTGTGGCTCCCTGGTGTGGCTCCCTGTCTTTGTCTTCCCCTTACCATTCTCCCCACACCATGTTGTTAGCCTGTCAGTTTGCTGTTCCTGGGGAACGCGGTGTGCAGGCAGCTCCCAGCTCCCAGCTACATGCTTCCTCTAAAGCCTGACCCCGAACCGAGAAAAACAACAACTCTATGTGAAGAACCCGCTCAGAAGAAATAGCATACAGGCTGTCCTGTTGGAACACCATAAGTTGTAGTTTTTACGGCCACCACCTTGACTTTGGCGATCCTGATTAGGCTGATAATTACAGAGGACCAAACAAATTTTCAAAATATTCTATTTTTGGAAAGCTGGATGCAGCTGAGGTTCATTTCCAATTATGTTCTTGGGCAACGATGAGTAATCTTGAATAATTTATTCTCATACTATTACCCATGAACACATGGATCTTGAGAACTCAGCCACCTGCTCCCAAGATGCTCTTTGTTGTCTATAAAGAGAGTAGGAGTAAGCAAGAATGCTAAAACTTAAAAACAAAGCAAGCACGAGGCTGGGGAGATGAGTCAGACTGGTAAAGTGCTGGCCACACCATCGTTAGGACCCAAGTTCCAGCCTTAGCATCCAAATAAAGGGGCTGGGGAGGCAGAGGTGGGAGGAGCCCTGAGGCTCACTGGCCAGCCTGTCTACCTGAATCTGTGGTCTCCAGGTTCAGTAAGAGACGCTGTCTCGAAAAATAAGGTGGGGAGTGACTGAAGAACACCTAATATTGACTTCTGGCACTCACATGCTCACACATGTGCGGGTGCACACATGAATGCACATGTACACACACATACACATGTACACACACATGCACACACACACACTTGCATACACAATCACACACTACAGTCAAAACGAACAAAGCAACATGAGCATTGCATATCTGTTCTGTTTCTCTAAACATGAAACTTCCTTTTGCAAATGACAAGAAGACTCAATGTACCTGCCATCAACAGATCACAGAAGATACATTTTTGTCATGATCAAACTGCGGCTTGTTGGACTGCAAGGCTGGGGCTGCTCCAACCATGTACTTAGCCCCACCCCCAGGGTGGCATGAGGCAACCCAAGGAGGGAGGAACCTGAGTCACTGGGCTGGGCCTCCTGAAGGCCAGCACAGAGGGACTCGTTCCAGGCCCAGCGAGCTCCCCATCAAAGGCTCACCCCCACCTGGTGGATAGAGACCGAGGCCCAGGAGAGCGGTGGTGCCTGGGAGAGCGGTGGTGCCCGGGAGAGCGGTGGGGCGAGCAGGGTACTCACATGGCATCTGCAGGCAGTGGTGCAGCACAGAGAGGAGGCAGGGGTAAGCCTCCGTGTGCCTCAGCTTCTTGTGGATCAGCTCAAACATCTGGGAGGCACTCTTCGTGTCGATGTGAACCTGGAGGGTTCAGGCCACAGTGAAGGGCAGAGCCGGACAGACAGTCGCGGAAGAGACAAAGGGCTGGGAGCCACTATTTCTGTCCTCCCAGCTCCATCCCTCTCCGGGGAGGAGCGCCCCATTCCTGACTACCATCCAGGAACAAAAAGGATGGAGCAGGGGTGGTGGTAGGGATCATACAGACGGGTTTCCCCACCTCAGCACCCCTGGCATCTTGGAGCAGATAAACCTTTGGTGCGGGGCGAGGCATTCCATGTCTTGAAGAATGTTTGGTGCTATCCCTAGCGACTGCCCCTAGATGCCAATGGTCCCCTCCCTTTTCCCTCCCCAAGTTGTGACATGCAAAGCATGTCCATGCTTGACCAGTGCCTCATGGAGAGACAGGAGTAAAACCACCCTGCCTAGGAACAGCTGAGCCACACTAAGGGAAGGAAGGGGGCATAGATGCTTCAAAGGAACAGATGGCCTGGAGTTCAAGGCCCAGATCCACTCTAGGAACGGGACAGCTAGTAACCTGCTAAATTCTCTAACCTCCGATTCCTTATCTGCAATCCCAGGCTGTGAGTGTGTAGTGGGTGGTAGCCCTGCCCCAAACGAGGCTATTGTCTATGTAGGATCACATGATACATGTAAGCAAGGGCGATGTGTGTATTTTGAGTCCAGGAGGCCCAGATGAAAGGTTTGGTTTGCTAAGCGCCATCTGGCTCGGGATAGAAAGAGGCAACTTGGGAAATTAGGGGGCCGCAGGGAAAAGCCAGCCAAGGACAGGACTCGAGGCTGGGTATGTTCACTCACGAGCTGGCTGTCTTACTTTGGGGCTTCTCGTTTCCTGGGGGAGATGACCAGGTATGGCTCATGAGGTGAGGCCCCAGAGCAAGCACACCACCAGGTTCCTTCAGAAACAGGACCTGGCCACAGGGTACCACTGGGGATCCGGCGAGCATGGGACTGACTTTAAGCAAGGATCTGGAGCAGTGGTCGAGGGACTTCCCAGGACCTCATACAAATGTCCCACCCCAGAGGTACCTCACCATGTCAAACCTCCGGGCTAGCTCCAGGTCGTCCTCATTCCGGACCATCTCAAAGAAGTCTAAATGCCTAGATAGATGGGAGGGGGTAGGTAGGGGTACAGAGAAAGTGTTATTAAAGCTAGAACACCCCTGGTGGAGGGGTCCAACCCATTCAATATCCCATTGACTATCTGAAAGTTTTATTCAGGTGAGGCTAAGGCAAGACCAGAAAGAGTCTATACACTATAAGCCAACCCCCAACTCCTTGATAAGACTTCATGGTCTTCCTTTAGGGTGATCATGTCAAGGTGCTGTCGCCACAGATGCGCATTTCTCCACTTTGACATTGTTGACTTTTAGGCACAGTTGTGCTTGGTGATGGGCAGCTGCTTTGTGTGCTCAGGTTATTCGTCAGCATCCCTGACCTTTACCCCTAAGATGTCAGCAGACCCTCTCTCTGCCCTAGCCAACCGTGGTGGATCAGATGTGCAACCTGAGCACTCGGGAGGCTAAGGTAGAAGGATCGTGAATTTGAGACCACCCTGAGCTGTATCTAGTCTGCGCTATAGCATGGAACCCTGTCTCAAAAACACAGAGGCTCCACTCCCAACTTGCCAACTCAGAACATCTCTGGGCACTGCTAGGTACCTCGTGGAGGATAAAATCACCCACTTTCAAGGACCACTCTCTTCCATCTATCTTTCCAGTATTACCATATCATCTCCAACTTAGTCCTCAGAGCAAATCTCTCCCTTATTCTCCATGGAAACACTGCCCCCTTTCCACATGAAAATGATCGATTCTTTTGTCTCCTTCTCCCTCACCCTGGTGTCTCTCTCTCTCTCTCTCTCTCTCTCTCTCTCTCTCTCTCTCTCTCTCTCTCTCTGTGTGTGTGTGTGTGTGTGTGTCTGTGTGTGGTATATGTCTGTGCTGTACGCACATATGTATTATGTGTTCTTTTGGAGACCAAGGTATGGTGTTGGTTGGCTGTCCCTTCTGTCTCTCTCTGCCTTATTCCCTTGATCCAGGGTCTCTTGCTGAGCCTGGGTCAAGGCTGGGGGTGGCCAGAAAGCCTCAGCAATCCTTCTGTCTCCCCTGCCACAGTGTTGGTGTTTCAGGCCCCCACACAGCCACACTCGGCTTTTTACCTGGGTGCTGGAGATCCAGACTCAGTTCCTCGCACTTGCAAGGTAAGAGTTCCTACTCACTGAGCTCCCCTGCCCTTGTCTCAATGCCCAGTGCAATCAAGTGGCTCGCACGAGGGAGTGAGACAGAACCAGTGCTGTCCACCGGCGACACATAAGAGCATGATCGTGCATTTTGATCACCAGGGTCTTTACAGCACACATTTGGGGTGGGGCAGTTCTCTGTGGAGCTGGACATTTAACATTGCTGCCCCTTCAAAACCACAAATGTCAGCAATGCTCTCCCTGACGAGGTTGAAAACCAAAGGACAGCCACCTGTTCCTAAATGTCTCCCAGAGGATCGTCTACCTTGATTAAGGACCACTGGGTTTACCTGTCTATAACATCATGGATGTTATAGGCCAGCATGGGTCCACCTGCCTCACAGAGTACTGATTCTAAGACTAGGCTTCCTATGGCAGTTGGTCCGCAGGAGAAGAAAACAGCCTTTTCTAAGGTCCTAGCTGCCCCCATCAAGAGGAGCTGTCACCACAGATTTATGGGTCTGGGTCACTGTGGCCTTACTTGTCCAGGATGGCATTCTCATGTTGTCGGAGTTTATCAATCACTGGCTGGATCCCCAGCATCAGGAACTCATACCGGAGATGTAGGCGAAATTCCAGGTTATCCTGAGGGTCACCAAGGGAGGACCAGACTCAGTGGCTCATCTCGCGTCCAAGAGGAACACCCACAGACCCTGTCAGCACCCACCTCAGCCATAGTCCCACGTCACACTGTGCAGCCAGCTCATCTAGAACCACTTCCAGAGATGGCCTGCCACCTTGCTGTTTCTCTAAAGCCAGTCTGCCAACCGGCCCCTGTTCCCTTCCACTTTACTCCCGGGTCAGTGTCCGCTTGCCCTCTGGTATCAAAGAGTAGTGACAGAATGTGGTGAAGAATAGGGCAGGGAATCAAGGAGTAGTGAAGAATAGGGCAGGGAGTTGGCTATTTTCCTGATCTGCTTTCTAGTTGTTTGCCCTTGGCTGTGTCTTTGCTTCCTCATTTGTAAAGTGGCTTAGTATTATTTATCCATGGGACTAGTGTGGTGGTTTGATGATAATGACCTCCATAGGCTCATATATTTGAATGATTGGTCCATAGGTGGTGGAACTGTTTGGGAAGGGTTAGGAGGTGCGGCCTTGTTGGAGAAGGTGTGCCACTGGGGGTGGGATTTGAGGTTTCACTGCCACACCATTCACAATTAGCTCTCTCTGCCTTGTGCTTGTGAATCACATGTAAGCTCTCAGCTTCTGCTCCAGCACCACACTTGCCTGTCTCATGCTGTGCTCCACACCATGATGGTCATGGACTTCCCCTCTGAAACTGTTTGCTCCAGCAAACTGTTTCTCATATAAATTTCCTTGCTCAGGTGTCTCATAGCATAAAAAGGTAACTAAGACAGAAGTTGGTACCAAGAAGTGGGCTATTGCTGTGACAAGCCTGATCATGATGTTCTTTGGACTTTGCAACTTTGAACTAGGAAAGTGGTTGAATTCTGTAAGTGGGGCTTACCAGGCCACGCTAGTTGGGGCTTGGAAGTCAATAGTGCTGCGAACAATGTGGACCATGGAGATTCAGCTCAAGGGGTTTCAGAAGAGAACAATATTAGCAACTGGCTTAGAGACCATTCTCGCAATATTTTGGCAAAGAATGTGGCTGCTGTTTTCCCTTGCATCAAGAATCTGAGAGATTGAAGAGTTTTGGGTTGATTTCACTTGGCAGAGGAGATTTTAAGGCAGATTTTAACACTGACTGTCTTGTGGTTATTAGTGATCACCCTTAGGCAGCTCTACAGTGAAGAAGAAGGGGAACAAAAAGAAATACCAAATGTAAAGTTTGAGGAGATAAGAGCACCCAGAAATTTCATGTTGGAGCCAAGGCTTGTGCCAAGGAAGAGAAAGAGAAATAGAATAAAAGGAGAGGTGTCTTTGGGGTGAGAGCAGAGTTTGTGGTCCTAAAATGGAGCGGCAAATCAAGCCTTATGCAAATGCAATTCAAGGAGGGGGCAGGTTTCATTCCAAAGAGGCTGCCTAACTTGGCAGCATCACCATGTGGTTCTGGATCTAGAGTTGTGAAAGATATAAGTGTAAAGGGGTTATGGAATCTTCCTCCTCAGTTAAGGAAGTCCACTGAAGCTGTGTGTGTGGTGGGGTGGGGTGTGTGTGTGTGTGTGTATGTGTGTGTCCCTGTATGGAGGCCCAGAGAGGTCATTGTGTGAGGCTGTGAAGGAGAAGTCCAGACCACACTAGAGACCCCAGGATGCTGGAGATGCCAGAGTCTTGGGTGTCTGCTGAGGAAAGCTGCAGCCCAAAGAGACACGTGTCCTGCAGCCAGCAAAGCCGGAGGGAAGAGCCGTCTAGTCCCTCTGCCATCTGACAGAGTGATAGGATTTGGAGTTCGCCCAGCGGATTTTGGTCTTGCTTTGGTCCAATATTTCCTCATGCCCCATTTCTCCCTTTTGGAGTGGTAATATATATTCTTGACACTGTATGATGGAAGCATGCAACTTGCCTTTTGATTTTATAGGGGTTGTAAAAAAATTAAGAGAATTCCTTGATTCTCAGAAAATACTTTGGACTTTTAAACGATGTTGAGACTATGAAAGACTACGGGAATTTTTGAAGTTGGACTAAATGCATTTTGCATTATGAGATGGCCATAAGCCTATGGGGACCAGGAGTGGAATGTAGTGGTTTGAATGAGAATGGCCCCCTATAGGCTCATGTATTTGAATGATTGGTCTCCAGTTAGTGGAACTATTTGGGAAGGTCAGGAGGTGTGGCCTTGTTGGAGGTGTGTCACTGGGAGTGGCTTAGAGGTTTAAAACATCCACACCATGCACAGTCAACTCTCTTTCTTTTTCCCAGTCGCTGATAAGTATGTGAGCTCTCAGATATAGTTTCAGTGCCTGCCTGTTGCCATGCCAACACACACGCGCGCGCGCGCGCGCACACACACACATGAATACACAGGCATTCTGGCAAGAGGGAGGGAAGAGGAGAGACTGTCAATGTCTCTCTTGGCTGCTTTTGTCCTTTGGGTTGAACTTGATTGGGACATTCACTTGCCTTAGAACCTGAGACCAGCAGTTTTCAGGTTTTTCTAGTATTACTGTCATAAGGGACTAGGAATTCCATTCTGTCCCCAGAAGAAGGGAAACCAGAAGCCACTCTTTCTAACCCTCCTAGAAGAACAGGACTAGCTAACTTAGAAAGCAGTCCAAAAGCGGGTCTCTAGAAAGAAGGACCAAAGGTTTTTCTCTGCTCACAAAGAAGTTCCAACCCCCACCCCCCACCCCAGGCATGACATGTCAGCTTCATTGGAGATTTGTGCCTGACCCACAATGCACCACGCTACTGCTGAAGGAAACTGCCCAGAGCCTTCCGAGTCTTAGACAACACCCCCAAAGAATCATGTGGGAAGCAAAGTCAGAATCAGTCCCAACCCCACTGTGAACAGCCACTGCTAAGATGGATTGTGGGTCCTCGGCAGTCGGGGGCCTTGGTGGAGTGGGACTAGACTTGTGCAATCTGTCTTTCCATGGTCCCAAGTGAAGGAGGTAAGATGTTCTAAAGATATCTGAAGATAACAACGGCCCCAGCTGTCACACCAACCAGATGCCTCCATCCTTTTCTCTGTCATTTGCCTAGAAAGCTCCTAAACTCATATAGTTCCCGAGGTCCAAGAGCTAAAGGAAGTGGCCTCACCTCTCCAGCCCCAGCGTTGAGGATGGCATTGATGAAGGACATGATGGCTGTCTTTAGGTTTACCTCATCCCGGTACCGACCCAAACTTCGGTCCAGCTCATTCAGCAGTGTCTAACGGGAAGACAGGAACAGTTAGGGAGGATGCTACCAGAGAAGCCTCTTCCCCTGTTCTATTGCCTTTCCAGGAAGCTGCTCCATTCTCTGCCTGATCCTGCCTCCTCAACTTATGGGGTCCACCCCAGATCTCCACACCCCCTGGCTTCCTGCTCAGCCCTCAGGGCTTGGGTTCCACGGCTGCTCTCTGACTCTGCATCAGCTGTTGACAGTCCCTGGCCATTCCTGACCAGTTTCCCAACCTCATGGATGCTACATTTAGTCTGTTTAGCATCTTTTGCAAAGGGCCAGGGGTCACTTTCTGCACAGGCTAATTGCTCATCTGTAAATGTCTGGTGCCAGATCAACAGCCTGGCTCATAAATCATAGATTGTGCAATGTCAGGTCAACAACTGAGTCTTATCCAGGCACTGTGCTCAGGTCAGACAAAAGAAGGGAGCTAGCATGGAGTGCCTTCCCAGATCTGGTCCAGTGTCAGCAAATATGACATTCATCTATCCCTGAAATCTTGACCAGCAACTGTACTTAACAATTCTTGTCTGGGCTCCTATCATGAGCCAGGTGCCGATCTCAGATAGCCAGAGCCCCCAAAACATGAAGTAAACCAGTATTTCAGCCTCAGGGTCCCACAGTTTAGTAAGGGGACAAATCTATTTGAAAGTCAGACCACAGCTCTGAACATACGATTTCTTATGTCTTTCGAGAGAAGCCTCTGGGTCCTAGGTCTTTCTTCCTTCCCGAGTGGACAGACAGCCTGCAAGATGTCCCTTCCCTCCGCCTTCCTTTACATGGTTCCCAGTCTCTCAGCTTTACCCTGTGTCAGCCCTTCCATGCCCAAGTGATGCCCCAACCCACCAACCCTTTGCCCACCTGGAAGCGAGTGCGCTCAGCTGCATACATCTGGTAGTGCAGCATGGCCTGCAGAACCTTCTTGTGGCCTCCGGGCACGAGGCACACCGCACCCAGGATCTCCAGCACCGCAACCTTAGTCTTGCTGTTCTCCGTGCGCAGGCTCTGTGCGATGGTACTGATGGCCTCAGGCTGTGTCAGGACATGTGCCCGTCCCTGGGAGTTGTTCATCAGAGCCTTAATGCAGCCGATGAGAGAGGTGTGGATGCGGCTCTCACAGGTGGCGTGGTCCATGCTCCGGAGGAAATTCAGCAGACAGGTTAAGCCTTCCAGCTCGATGAAGCGGGTCACAAATCTAAGCAGAGCCCAAAAGGAGTTTCCTATTTTTGTGTGTCACACACACTTTACAAATAGCTACTCAATACGCACACCATTCACCATGCTCCACCCACAGCAGTCTCCTGGCTCATTTAGGAGTTTATCCATAGGCCCCAAATCTCATCCTTTCAGAAGACTCACAGTTTAAAAATTATTTTTAAAAGCTTATTTCTTATGTGTGTATGTGTGTGTGTGTGTGTGTGTGTGTGTGTGTGTGTGTGTGTACACAGATGTGTTTGTGTAACAGCTTAGTTATGTGGGCATGTGGGAACTGTCTCCTGGCTCATTTAGGAGTTTATCCATAGGCCCCAAATCTCATCCTTTCAGAAGACTCACAGTTTAAAAAATTATTTTAAAAGCTTATTTCTTATGTGTGTATCTGTGTGTGTGTGTGTACACAGGTGTGCAGGTACCCTAGAAGGCAGGAAAAGGCATTAGATCCCTGGAATTAGAATTAAAGGCAGTTGTGAGCTAGCCAGTGTGGGTGCTGGGGACAGAACTTTGGTCCCCTGGGAGAGCAGGAAGTGCTCCTAACTGGTGCTGAGCATCTGTCCAGCCCCAGAGTGTTGGGGGCACAGCACATAGGTCCTTGTGCCCACAGACCTCCAGGAAAACCAGCACTGTTAAACACACAAGATTGCCCTCCCAAGGCAAAGGATGTAAAACCTTTTCTTCCATCCAGAAAGCTGGGAAAATGGAGGTTATTAACTGCCTGATGATCTGCGTTATCTGTTATCTGTTAGGTCAGGCCATATCAGACTCCCACAGCCAGGACCAGAGATGGCTGGTAACCTATATGACCCTTACAGTCAGGGGCTCCCCAAGCTCCCACAGCCAGGACCAGAGGTGGCTAGTAGCCCAAATGACCTCTACACTATCTGTATGACCAAGACCAGGCCAGATTCTCCCCTAGGCCCTTAAGCTAACACAGGTAGAATTTCTCCAGAACCCATCTTATTGGGAGCAATGACATGCACCCCAAGTTGAGTTTCAATGTACTTAGCTTCCTTGTGCAGCAGGAATTGTATTACACCAGAAAACTTTTTTTCCAAAACATACTCCGTTTAAATTTGGAACTGAATTTTCATTCTCACTTCTTTCAGGGTTTTATTTTCCCCAGCCTGCCTATACCTCCAGGGACACCCCTCACCAAAGGATTTACATTTTATTTGTATTTTAGTTTTTACTGTGTGTGTTCTTGTGTTTGTGTGTGCGCACACCAGTGTGTTGCGTGCATGCAGAAGGGAGATGTTAATGGCAGGTGTCCTCCTCTATTGTCCTCTACCCTGTGTTCTGAGTCAGGGTCTCTCAGTGAACCTGGACCTTGACAATTCAGTTAGACTGGCTGGCCAGCAAGCTCCAGGGTATATCATTTATCTCTGCCTTTCAGCACCAGGGTTAACAGATGTGTGCCTTTTAAATGGGTGCTGGAGATCTGAACTCAGGTCCTCACGCTGGCACAGCCAGGACTCCACCCACTGAGTCGCTTCCCCAGCCCGATTGTTTATATTATAAATACTGTGCACGATGGTAGTATCCCACCAAAAGGCTCCTGTGATGAAAGTCCGGTCCTCAACTGCTAAAGCTAGTTTTGGAGGTCCTAGGAGATGGGGGATAGCTGAAAGAAGTATCCACTGGAGCTGAGCCTCAGAAGGGTATAGTCCATGCTCTTTCTCTCCCTCCTTGTCCACTGTGAGGGGCACAGTCTCTGCCACACACTCCTGCAGCCATGGAGGTTTCCTTCCCATAGCCCAGAGCCAAAGCTGAGTAACCACAGACTGGACCTTCTGAGGGTCCTTTCTCCCTCCAGTCTCCTTTCTCAGGTACCTGGCCTCAGTGATAAGAAGATAATTCACACATTAAATTTGCCTGTCACTGACTGTCCTTTGCATAGCTAAGATGGGGGGATTATAATCACTATAGTGGGTCAACCTGAAGACTCATCTCTATTCAGACAGGGTATTGAGGGAATTACAGACAGGTGACAAGGAAACACTTCAGCCTGGGGAGGCCACTAGACTCAGAGCCAAGGGACCAAGGCTGGGAAGCTCCCTTTCAGGAGACTCTGGAAAACAGCCCTTATCCTGATTGTGCTCAGTGTCTTAGCATTACAGCCATTTAGCCCAGCCACCCTTAATCTGGAGTCGGTGTTCCCATAAAGAGCCTCTGGGAAGCATTCACTCAGAGTCCAAAGGCCTCTGTGGGAAGAGGGAACTACACCTTTATCTTGGATAACCTCTAACTGAAAACGAGCATTCCACCAACGAGGAATAGAGGCTACCAATCCCAACCCCAGAACTGCTAGCAGAATCAGAGACTTTGTCAACCCAAATAAATCACCGCTATTTTCATATCAAATTAGAGCTGCTGCAGATATCTAAAATATCATTTTCACCCATCGGTACTTCAAGATTATAGTGCTTATCACACCCGCTGCCAGCTCTCACTGCTCAAGCGTTAAAAAGCACATTTATTGCTATCGCCTGCACTTTTTAATATTTGTGGGCCTATTTTAATTGCATTGGCTTATTCTTCAACTCTGTTTGTCTATTTATGCTGTTATTTAAAGCCATTATTTCCAGGAAGCAAGACTTGAGCTTTTATCTGTGTGACTGTGTGAGAGACATCTATGGCAATACATTAAAAAACAATCAGTTGTAGAGACCTTAATTCAGTAGCGTAATTAATGATCTGAGAAAATGGTCATGAAATGAGTTCAGAACCACTATTTATAATTAATATGTAAATGTATCTCTATGAATTTTATGTTGTATAAATATCAACAGAGTGTGTTCTCAATTTAAGTTAATAATATGTATTTTTTATTTTTTCCCTATCTTATCCTTTTCTGTATTGCACAGAATTTCTACAATGATGTCATATGATTCTTAAAATCACAATTTTATTAAGGGGAATTAAAATAAACTTTTGATTATATACCATTCTATGCTATCTTTACCATGCATCACGGGCATAAACTCAAGAACATACCTAGTAGAAAGAACATATGCAATAGCAAATGTAGAAAAATAATTGGGTAATTAGTGGTGTATACCAATATTATTTTGAATATCATTTATTTAATCGCTAGTTTATATAATTTAAAATGTAATCAAAAGTAAGTCTAATAACTCATTTGCAAGATTGCTGAGAATTTAATAGTAGGTTCATCCAATGCTAGAAGCCACTTCAAGCACACCACTGGGAAGAGCCAGAAGTGAGGAACTCTGTGGCTTTTGGCTGCCTTTAGACTATCCACTGTGGTCTAGGAAGGGGGAGAAGTATTCTGTGGCCTTTGGGACACCCATCCATCCCCTTTCCTTCCTGCTTGGCTCCCGTTTTAGATGGCTAGAGCACACCCTTAGACTCCACATCGCCCCCTAGTGCGTGGAGGATTTCTCAACCCATGCCCTCCTCTTTCCCCAAGTGGTCACTCTGCCCACTCTTTCTCAGAAAGTCCTTTATTATACACCACCTGCCCTCAATGCCTCTTTCAGAGTGTCTGGGGACCCAAGGCTTGTCCACTTCCCCATATCATTTCCCCTCCTATCCACACACTCCCAGCAACCCAGGAGGGAAATGGGAACTGGGAAGCAAAGAAGATAAAAGGGGATCTTAAGGAATTTTGCAAGAGTGACCTTGGCCAATAGGGCTAGCCTGGAGCAGAGCACTGTGCAGGCTTCAGGATGACAGAGCCACTGGGAAGGGGCAGAGAAGGAAGGAAGTGATCACCAGGGTACAGTCCAGGTCACTGGGAGGGGGCAGAGAAGGAAGGGAGTGATCGCCAGGGTACTGTCCAGGTCACCTCATAGGCTGCGTCCGGAGGGCTGTCTTCAGGTCTTCTACAACTTGGTTCCTCGTGTTGGTCTCCTCCTCGTCAAATTCACACAGGTTCTGCATCTGAAGCCCACAGGTAAAGGGAGTAGAAGTCACACTGAGCAGCTTGCCTTCCCCAGGAGGCTTCTGTACTCCCAGGGTAGCTGTGCCTGGGGAGGGTACCTTGCCTTGGGGAGGGCGAGGGCTCGGAGAGTACTTTACAACTATGACAGACAGACTCTGAGAGAACCAGGTTCTGGTCTGTGACTTAACTTCCCATATCTAGGAAATAGAGGGGATTACTGACTCTTGCCATTTCCCAAGATGTGTGATGTCCAACGGGGTAATATGTGTTTAACTAGTTGAGGGGACTCTGATGTCCAAGGAGGTGGATTGTATAAGATCTCGGGATTACTGAAAGCTGCTGTGTCTGGCAAGTGTGGCATTGGGGAGCAGGGATGGTGGCTTGGGGCACCACTGCCTTTCTAGACCTGTCTGTGTGGGGTAAGGTGGGAAAAGAACAGACACTTACCGCAGCCATGGAGTTGATACGTTCAATGTAATAGTCGGGCCAGCTGGTTGCCAGCTTGTTGGGGTCCTCCTGCTCCTGAAACATGAGGAACAGACTTAGGTGTGTCCAACCATGGCACACAGGACACATGTATCCTAGGGTAGTTACAAATGTGGCCCAACACATTAGTAGAAGACAGAGTTGTGCCACAATGTCGAGGGGTTGGACACTTCTGGATGGACAGATCCATAAGCTAAGACCGAAACATCATTTGAAGTCTGTAGAGGATCAGTTTCCAGCCCTACCCACAAGGGCGGTCTGTGGAAGCTCCCTAGGTTTCTGTTTCTTCCTTGGTGAAATATTGAAAATGAATACAGATTTATGTGACTGCCAAGAAACCGGGCAGGGGCAAGGGTCATTTTCAATGAGCCACATGTCCAAACTCTAAAATATTTTTCCTGCTGTTTCTATTCTTTTTTATAGTTTATAGCTAATAAAATATCATTTTATGATTACTGATTCTCATATAAAGTAATATTTTTATGTCTTCCATTTGTGTGTGTGTGTGTGTGTGTGTGTGTATGAATGTGCATGTTTGTGTAAGTACAGGTACATATGGGTACACACACATGTGTGTACACATGTAGGTGAAGGCTTGAGCGTGACCCTGGTGTTGTCCTCAGGCCCTGTTCACCTTGTTTTTTGAGACAAGTTCTCTCACTGGCTCAGAGTTCGCCAAGTAGTTTAGGATAGCTAGCCAGCAAGTCCCAGGGGATCCCACCTGTCTCTGCCTCCCCACACTGGGATTATAAATGTGCTGACCACCACACGTGGATTTCTTTAAACATACATTCTGTGGAGCAAACTGAGCACCTCACGCTTTATCAATGGGCTATCAAGAATTTTCATTATCTGATATAGTGGTTTGAATAAAAAGTGTCCCCCGTAGGCTTAGGCGATCGAACACTTGGTTTCCAGTTATGGAGGTTATGGAACTTTTAGGACACGGAGTGTGTGTGTGTGTGTGTGTGTTTGTGTGTGTGTGTGCCAGGAAGCAGCCCAAGAAGGGTAGTGACACTTCTCATCTTTTCCTCTCACTGACCATGACCCAGCCCAAGGATCTGGCAGGTGTCTGTCCCATGGGTTTCTGGAATAGAGAATCCTCATTCTCAGAGGGTATGCCCAAGAGAATCGGGATAGTTTTCTTGCCTTCTTTAAAATGAGTTTCATTTGTATGGGTATATATGCAGGTGTGTGTGTGTGTGTGTGTGTGTGTGTGTGTGTGTGTGTGTGTGTATGTGTGTGTGTGTGGAGTGCCACTATATGAGTGTACGTGTGTATGTGTGCACACATATATGGGGGTCAGAGGACAACCTCCCATGCGTTCTTCAGGAGCCGTTCCCTCTAGTTTTTGAGATAAGTTCTCTCCTTGCGACCTGAGGCTCACCAGTTCAGCCAAGTTCATTATCCCAAGAATCCCCAGGGACTCTCCCACCTCCTTCTCCCAAGAGTGGGATTACAAGCGCGCATCAACAATCTGGCTTTTTATGTAGGTGCTGGGATTTGAACTCAGGTCCTCAAGTGTGCATAGCAAGTGTTTTACTAACTGAGCTCTCTTCTCAGCCCACACTTGGTTTTTCTTTACTGTTTGCTCTCACATTCTTAGTGTGTACCCAAGACTCTCTAGAATGAATTAAAGAAAGAAGGAGTGAATGAATGAAGAATGAGCATCAGAACCACCCCTGCTGGGGCCCCTGAGGTGGGGCAGGAGGGGCTGAGGGGACCACCTTCTTCTTGCTGCAGTAGATCTGCCATTTCTTCTCGGGTGGTAGTGCAAACACAGCCTCGCGGTTTTTGTCCGTGAGGTCCAATTCATCCTACAAAGACAAGAAGAATCACACCTGAGTATGAAGCCCACAGGAGACCAGAGCACCCCAGACTACCCACAGCCTATGACCTCCTCCCAGAGAGCATCGCGCACACCATAAGGCATCCCTTGTTCACTAGAAGCAGAGCCCCAAGCCCTTGACACAACCACGTCAGGTTCTTCTACCCAATGCTCCTTTGCTTCCTGCCCACACCTCCTTGTCTTTGTGAATCCCCTTCCTGCTCCAGGCCACCCTGTTCCCGACTTTCCCACATTTGCTTTTCTGCTCCCTCATCTGGCATGTCCGGTGTGTGGTTCCTTGTCTGTACAAAGTCTGCTAACACCTAAGCTGGGGTTTAGGTCTGACGGGGAGACCCCACGCCATCAGACCCTTGCCCCTTTCTCAGATCTTCCCACCCTTCTGCCTGCCTATGGAGTCTCTCCTCTGAATTTTCCCAGATCCTTCAAGCTCAGCACGACTGGAGAAGCTGAGCCAGAGGGGCGAGGGCCAGAGTGAGCAGTGGGAATGGAAAACCACCCCAAAGGAAGCAGTGACATTGATCTGTAAGCCTTCCACCTCCAGGACACCAGGTGGGGCTCTGCAAGGCTCGGGGCTCCACCAGGCCAGGCTATACTTCCTGAGGAGCAAGCCTCGGAGGTTGTCATACTTTGGGGTTATTCTCTTGGTGGTTTGGATGATTTTATAGGTTTGTCTGTGCTGGCTGGCTTCTAAAGAGCTGTTTGGTTTGGTGTGTGTGTGTGTGTGTGTGTGTGTGTGTGTGTGTGTGTGTGTGTGTGTGTGTGTGTCATGAGTGCAGGTACTCATGGAGGCCAGAAGAGGGCATCAGATCCCCTGGAACTGAAGTCACAAGCAGCTGTAAACCACTCAGTGTTGTGATGGGAACCAGCCTTGGGTCCTCTGTAAGAGCAGCAAACACTCTTGACCACTGAGCCATCTCTTCAGCCCTGGGACGTTAGAGAGAATATTTAAGACTTCTCCTTCCCTAGGTCAGAACTGTTAAGTAGAATGTAATGAGAGAAGCATATCTAAAAATGTTTTAGTCATACTTAAAAAATTAAAGAGGAAAAATGGATGAAGTTAATTTTAATGTTACATTTTATTTCAACTAATATAACTAAAATACGACCATTTCAACATGTAGTAAATGTAAAAAGTATTGGTAATATATTTTACATTTTTCCTTTTCTTTTTCTATTTTTTCCTTTTTTCCCTTTCCTCCTTTTTTCTTTTTTTGAGATAGGTTCTCTTGTAGCTCAGACTGGTCTGGAATTCACTGTGTAGCCAAGGATGACCTTGAACTCCTGATCCTCCTGCCTCTACTCCCCAAGTATACCACCACATCTGGCTCATTATTCTTTTCAAACTAAGACTTCCAAATCCCATGTGTACGACTGCCCATTCTTCCTGTCCTGCTGAGGGAGTCAGCAGCCCAGCTCAGCTCAGGGAGTCAGCAGCTGCCATTGGACAGCACACACCATGTGCTTTAAAACAATGCCAGTCAGCGTTCCTGCCTTTGAAATTAAACATATCTACAGTTTTAGTGACAAGGAGAAACTCATCAACCTGTCCTCTGCACAGCCCAGGAAATGGTTTTCCTAGGTCCCAGCCAGGTCCTAGGCAGGAACCAGGCATCTCTGCCTCCATGTTTCTAGTTATTCAGCCACCCCCCATTCCAAGGCTCTCAGAGTCCCCTGTAGAACCCCACTTTTTGCTTGCTTCTGAAATTAAAGGCTCCTATGGAAATTCCAGAAAGCAACCGAGATAAAGCTATCAAGAGTTCTCAATGTCTCTTTTTACAACCTGACCCTTCTAATGTCAGCCAGGCTGGTCCAGCACCAGATGGTCCAGAACCAAAGGGAACTGGAGGAAGATCCTTCATCCTGGGGACCATTTCATGTTCCATTTCATGGTGTCTGCCTCGGTGAGGGTCTGTTTCCTCTATTGGGAAGGTGTTTTAGGAAGCACCACCTCATCCCTAAGAAGAGCTTTGTGGAGTGGAGAACTCAACACATAGGCTCCTGTCCTCTGCCTTCTCTGCTCTCTATCCACCCATTTCCCCCATCATCAGAGCCCTCTCAACCCTTCCCTCACTAACCACCAGCTCTGCAAAGCGGATGTTGAGCTCCTCTGGGTTCGGGATTGGACCGGAAAACTCCAGATACTGCAATGGGTGGCTGTCCCGGAGGTCGATCTCGGGGATGTCACTGCCTCCAAAGCAGCAAAGGAAACCCAGGCCATGGTGACTCCTCTTGCTCATAGCCATGGTCACTGCAGGCTGGGATGGTCAGCAGGCAGGTGCCTCAGGTCCTCATTGGCACAATCTAGGTATCAGGACAGAGAGAACGGGTGGTCATGAGAAAGAGCCAGACAGGTAGGACAGAGGCCACTCTGCCTCCCGAACTCTTGTTACAGAGACCATTGGGGGCCATCAGCTCAGTACCAAAGGCCTGTCCCTTCTCTCTCAGACTCTGTACTTCTTCCAGCTCCCTGCACCTGAAGTTATTCACCTGTCCTCACCAGACTCGCAGGTGTTTGCTAGCATGGACATTTCCCAAGTCCTTTTCTCTGTCCCTGGATAAGTGAAGAGGACAACAGTCACATGTGACCTCCAGGTGGTCAGAGCTGATGTTTTCCATACCTGGCATGAGAATATCCCAGGAGTTCTCTGGCCCCTCGAGGATCAACATACACCAAAGTTCATGGATCTGATCCATTTCAGGGTCAGGGAGAGATGGTTTTATGGGTGATAGGAGAGGAGGGTGGAAGCCAGCTGTTGGAAGAACTTTGAGGTAATTACAGGACACGGCTCCTGATGCATAGGCCCCAGAGAAGGAGACGAGGAACGAGCCTCTCAGCTCTGGCCCACTCTCTTGTACTCAGATGTGTTCAAAGTAGCACAAAATGTCCACAAGACAATGGCTCACCCATCCATCTTGAAGGAGGCCAGAGCCCTCAGCATGAGGAGAGTTGGGAGTTTAAACTCCAGGTGAGATGAGGCTGTCCTTTGGGATGGGGCTGAATGTGTTTGGGGAAATCTGGCCAGATGTGCTTTCCACACCCTGCAAGGACTCTGCTCTGACTGAGACTGATTGATGGGTTGGAACAGAAAGAGTTAATTCATTGGCCTTGCCACTGGGGAAACCTCACTCAGTGGTGCCAATTAGAGGAGAAACACCGGCCGCCACCACGGCTGCCCCTGGATTGCTTAAGTTAAGCCATCTGCACACAGACCTCTTCAGGGCAGATCCATCCTCCACCTCTGGTTCCCAACACATGTCAAATGACCTGAGTGGATTTAACAAGGAGACTAATGAGATCCACATACTCAGTCTTGCCCAGAGCATCTGCCCACCACCTTACACATAGAGCTCCATTTTCTAGATATAAATATAGGACTTATTTGTTTGCTCTTTGTGTGTGTGTGTGTGTGTGTGTGTGTGTGTGTGTGTGTGTGTGCGCGTGCGCGTGCGCGCTTGTACACACACGTGTAATGTGGTATACATGTAGAAGCCAGCAAAACTGGTAGGAGTCAGTTCTCTCCTCCCACCAGGTGTATTCTGAGAATGCAACTCAGATTTCCAGGTTTGGTGGCAATCACCTTTACCTGGTAAGCCATCTTGACATCTTTATTTAATTTGCTGGGGGTTGCTGAGTTACTTTTGAGCCTTGGTACTTTGCTGTCTCTCCTGGACCTGGACTATTAACACATGAAGACATATCCACAGCTGACACTACATCACTGATGAAAAAGCACTAAATCACCATGAGATAACAGCCACATCTTCGTCCACACCTGGAGGATGGTCCATTAGGGAGCTCTGTACCCACGTGACCCTTCATCCACCCCAGGGGGCATGGTCCATCTGCGAGCTCTATATCCACATGAATCTTCATTACAAGTCCTTTTCCTATACAGCAATGTGAGGAGTCTTCACTCCAGCCCTGTGAATTTGTTATACTAACCCTGAAGCATTCCTCTGAACCAAGCTCTGGAACTTTACAGAGAAATAAACAAGACAAACATAGTACACGTGAACCCTGGAACCTTCTAGAGAAGAGCACCTTACTCTCAGACGCCTAACAAATCAGCTAACAGTTGTAGAATTTTATGTCAACTCTCATTTAAATTACATCCCACTTTAATTGCCGTTCTAGAACTTTTTTTTTTAACTGATTCAATTTTTATCTTTCTTTATAAATCTTGTGATAGGCTTTTTAATAGGTGCAGGCCCACCTTAAATAAAACAGTCTAAAAGAGCTGTACAACACTGGTTCTTTCTTGATTAAACACTGGCCCTCATACCTATTTGAGGCACCTTGAAGACAGAAGCTGCATCCCCTGCCTCTCTGGTGACCTTCATTTCTACAGGTAATAAAAGACTTGTGCTCAGCGGTGCTCAATCCATGGGTCTGTCAACTTAAACATTACCTGTGAGCGCAGAAAATGAGGACAGAGGACTCTTTACTAAGCAGTCAGGAAATACCAGTTGAAACCGCTCAGTCCTAGCAGTTGACAAGCAACCAGGAACCTTTTCAAGAGTAGGAGGAGAGTTGTGGGGCTGGGGTGGAGGTCACTATCCTGGGCCAGAGACTTCGGATGCTCGAGGAGGGTCGTCTGGGGTCTTCCGCGGGATTTGACAGCTGGTGAGCACAGTGGGTGTGTACATCCCTCTTTCATTGCCTGGCAAAGTCAGCTGGAGGAAGGTGCAGGTCTCGTCCCTCAGGGTGAGAGGACATGGGGACAGCAGTGCTGGGCACTTGGTCACATCACACTGTAGTCAGGGATGGAGGAGGGGCCAGGGCCTAGCGTGATTTCTTCTTTTCATGTGGTCTAGGACTACAGCCCGTGGACCAGGTCCCACCTCAGTCAGCCTCATCCAGAGAATCCCTCACAGACGAGCCCAGAGAGCTGCCTCTGGTAATTCTAGATTATGTCCAGTCGACCGCCCATGTTCACCAGCAGAGTGGGTGAGACAAGTCCCAAGTGTCTGAGGGCCAGGCGCTGTGAGGCTCCACATCTGAAGGCAGGTGGGTAATCGTGAAGACTACGAAGCTCGTCCCCTTGGTTTCATCAGCCTTGTGAATCCAAAGGAGCTGGGTTGAGTGCAGAGTGCATAAAGAAGCTTCCAGAGGCTGAGGCAATGAGGCCAGGCTAGTAGCACGATGGAACTCTCGGAGGGTCAGACTGACGCCTAGGAGGACTTGTGGCCCTGCCTTCACCCCCTCATCTTCTTGTACCCCGAGTCTTCCTCAGCCTCCTCTGCTCTTCACTTCTCCCAGACCTTGCCAGATCAGGGATGAGCCAGGATGGCCAAGCAGCCCACCTTTACAGCAGCTGTTCAGAGCCACTACTGCTCTGCTTGGTCCCCTTGTCTTACCTGTTATCACATGTGACATTTCCTCTGGTGTGGGGAGCTAGGCACAGTGACTGCTCACATCTCTGCCCATCTGCTCTCTTAGCTCTAGCCACCTGCTGGCAGAGCCAGGAGCAGAGGCCCAGAAGCCAGGCAGCCTGGACTTTGACCCCTGGCTTTTGCCTACCTGACTGGTGGTGACCTTAAGGATATCTCCTAGCTAGGAGCTCAGGTGCCTCATCTGAGATACTGACATAACCACCATGTCTTCCCCAGGGCGTTCTGTGAGTGAACAAGACCATGGACATGATGGGAGCACCTGAGTGCTCAGTAGGTGGAGACCAACATGGCTGCTGACCTTTGGTCTCAGGGTCATTGCAGATGAGACTGGCCCTGTCCAGAACCACATTCCTTCAATGGGATGCTTAGACCCAGCCTTACAAGAATTGCCCACCACAACTCAGAAGTAACCCAGCTTAGCTTCAGAAACTGAGAAATTGAGAGAGAGGAACTGGGTCTTTTCCTGCATTTCAAACCCACTCTAGTTAGAAAAGCAAATGAAGAGATGGTGGGGGGTTGAGGTGGCAGACAGGCTGATTTCCCTGACTTGGTCGTTATGTATTGACACATTGCCTTGTACTCCACAGGTGTGCATAATGATTGTGCATTGACTCCAAGGTTGGAGTCTGGAGAGACGGCTTAGCTGGTAAAATGTTTGCCTTGCAAGCATGAGGACCTGACTTCAGGCCCCAGAATCCATGAATGGAGTTGTTTATGTGATCCCAGGGCTGGGGACAAGGAGCCGGGAGGACCAGTAGGGCTTACTGGTTTGTTAGCTAGCCAGCTTATCCTAGGTGGTAAGTTCCAGGCCACTGAGAGACTACATGTCCAAAAGAGACAGGAAGATAGATAAGCAATATCTGAGGTTGTCTTCCGCACGTGTATGTGCATGCCATGTCCATGCATGCATGGATGTGACCACACATGTCACAAATAGAGCTGGGAATACAGCTCAGTGGTAGAACGCTTGCCTAGCATGCATGAGACTGTAGGTTCAATTCCTAACATTGCAGCCCAAATCAATCAATCAATCAATCAACCAAACCAAATTTAAAAAGAAAAAGAGAGCAAAGCAGAAGCCAGTGGCTGGCTATGGGCAGGTGGTGGGTAGTGGGAGGTAATGTGGCCAGAGCAGTGTGTCACTGTAAAGTCCCTTTAAGAAGAGGAGCAGGATTGAGAAGCCACCGGGGACAGCAGGAAGCAAGCGCAGAAGGAAGCCCAGTGGACTTGAGCTCAGGCTAAAGGGACTGAACCTGCCTCCAGCATGACCCACTTTTTTCTCCATGAAAGCCTCCCCAGTGTGGCAGCCTCTTGCCCCCCACATCCTCCCCGCTTCCTGTGGGGACACTAAGCCATGGGATCAGCACCTTCTATGAGCTGCAAGAGTCTCTTCCAGGCCTCACCCTCACTGCCATAGTCTCCCCATATTCTGAGATGGGCTGCTCCCAGCTCCATCACTGCACTTGTGGGTCAGAGGTCACGGTGTTGCACAGTGCTCCTCTCTCTGAGACCGAGGTACTCCAGTGGGACAGCTGCCTTTGACTGAAGATCTCCAAGAGCCCCAACCTTTCTCACTATCTGGCTCGATCCCTTCTCAAAGGTTTCCTCCCAAGGGGCTCCTCTATTCTGAGCATCCCAGCTCCCCACATCCCACCCTACGCTAGGCAGGAAGGACTTCCTATCTCCAGATGCTGTTCCCATCTGGTCACCTCTAACCCTTACCCCCAGCCATGACCTTTACCACTCCACACTGCACGGCCTGCACCCTCAATCTTCAAAGGCCCCCACCAGCAGCATTCATTTCTCGCTCTTAATTAAAGACAGAGTAATGCTCATACTTCAGATTTGACGGCATAAGAGACACTGAGATGGATCTACGTTTTATACCCGCAAAGACCTAAGATGCT